CTGTCAAGTCATGCGTAACCTGGCAGCTGGCTGTTGAATCAAACTTTTGATATATTTTTTTTTTTAGCAAAGATGAAATAAAGCCACTTGTCATATTTTTAGGATGAAAATATTTTCCCCATCATGTGTGGTTAGTCACCTAAAATTCTGAAACATGGACCACTGTGATACATGGGTGTCGATTTGTATACCTTTGGGGGTGCTGCAGCACCCCCAATGCTCAAATGAGCACCCCCAATGGTTTTCCGGGCACCCCCAATGATTTTGTCCCTCAATAACTCCCACTAACTCTGCTTGAGGAAAATACAGATACAGATACAGATACAGATAGTTTATTAAGACACCTCCATAGCATGGATTTTATGGGTCTACGTCATTACAGCACGATAAAATAAAAGCAAATACATCTACATAGCGCATTCACAAAAGACAGGCAATATACTCAGGTACATAAACTGGAACGGACTAAAACATATCATCTAGATATACCTAATCACGGTGCTGTCACCGCGTTCTGCGTGACAGCGTTCCACGCCTTAGCACCACCGTATAAAAAGCTGCGCTTTGCGAACTCAGTCCTCGCCCGAGGCAACTCGAGCTGACCGCCCTCGGTAGCACGCGTGATGTCGAGATATGACACTGACACGCTGACACTGATAAAATAATTGTTCTGCAGTCTTTCACTACAAAAAAAATAAAACAATTACGCAATTTACAAGGCATGAAATAAAGATGTAAAGAAAAGAAAAGTTAGTTTTAAGAAGAAGGGCGAAAAAAGACGTTAAATTGCAAAGACACTTGTGTGGGTCCGTCGTACACGGGTGTCGGACTCTTAGAGCTGCTGGTGCGTACCCTTTACAAGCCGGCAGGGGGCTCCAGAGACCGGCGACGGGCCCTCAGGGGCCGGCAAAGGGCCATCAGAGGCCGGTGGTACCTTCAGAAATCCTGTGGGGTCGTCTTTAGAGACCGGAACGGACTCAGACGCCGATGGGGCCCTCAGAGTCGCCGGTGTGGGGCCTTCAAATGTCACCGGTGGCAGGGTGGCCGTCACATGCGCACTAGTGGGGCCTTCAGAAGCTACGATGCTGGGCCCTCAGAGCCGCCGATATAGGGCCTTAAGAGGCACTAGTGTGGGGCCCTCAGATATGGCAATGTGGGGCCCTCGGACTGGAGGCGCCGGTGTGGGGGCTTCGCAGTCGCCGGTGACGGCCCTCACAGGCGCCGTTGTGGGGGCTCTCAGAGACACTGGTTTAGGGCCATCACAGGCGCGCGTGGGGCCCTCAGAACTGCTGTTACGGAACGGACCCTTCATAGGCCGACAAAAAGATATCAAGAGGTCACCGGTGCCTTCAGGAGCCTTGTGGGGTTCTAAGAGACTGGCATGGTGCGCTCAGACGCCGCTGGGACCCTCCGAGTCACCTGTGTCAGCCGTCAGGGTCGCTGGTAACTGACAATGGCCCTCAGAACCGCCCATGTAGGGTTTTAAAGGCATTGGTGTAGGGCCTCAGAGTTAGGGGTGTGGGGCCCTCAGGGACGCCGGTGTGGCGCTCAGAGGGGCGCCGGTGAGGGCCCTTACAGTCGCCGTTATATGGGCCCTCAGAGAAATGGGTGTGGGGCCATTATAGGCGGGTGTGCAGCTCCTAGAGCTGGCCCCCTATAGGCCGGTTAAGACCCCCAGAGGCCGGCAAGTGGCCCTCAGAGGCTGGCTTGGGGCCCTTATGGAGATCTTAATGTTGGTACTTGTGGGCCCATGAGGTGTTCTTACGAGCCCTGTGGGGCCCTTCTGAGTCTAAATATAGCCAACGTGGACCCTCAGCGGCCAATTGGCGCCGCAGGGCCCCTCAGGCCCGAATAACCCGATGGGCCCCTGAACCTGATGGGGGGGGGGGGAAATCCCGTGATTATCAGTACCTTATGGGGATACCCAACCATGCCTTGCACGGTTGTGCCTCATGGCAAAGCTGCAATCTTTCACCCGGTGCAGGGGTTGAGCACCCCCAACCATTTTGAAAAATCGACACCCCTGCTGTGATACCAGCATTCCATCATGTCAACCAGCATTCCGCAGCATGTTAGCAGAAGCAGCAGCATGTTATAAGTATATGAAAGATCCAAATAGGTTGTAGGTTGGTAGGTATTGGTACTAAGTTTAACTTAATAGGTTAGTAGGCAAGGTTAGGATTAATTTTAGTTGAGCATCAAGATAACCAATTACGAACAAGTAACAAAATCCTTACCTACCCTTGAAAGCATTGCTTCAATCACATCATCACGAAGAACCAGACAAAAATTTTGCACATTCTTACACTATTTGACATCCTGAATCCAGATATGATGCTTTCATGTGGCGCAAATACAAGAAAAACGAATAATCAAACCCGTGCGTATTCGTATCAACGGCGCCACAATTGTAGATCAGACCTTTTCTGAACAAATGCCACCACAATTATAATTGATAAGGGATTAAAATGGCATGATCATCAACATCTTGATTTTTTCTAAAAGATAGCGATAACTGATGACTAATAACTTACCATTCATTTTGAAATCACGGCGGTAGGTACACCAACACATGGCACTGAAAACAGCAAAAGACGGAATGGCGGAATGTCGTATGGAGCCCTAAAACGCAGCTCGAATTGAGCCCGAAAAGGAAGACGAACTGAGCCCGAAAAGGAAGACGAACTGAAGCCGCTTTCGGGGCTAATGTACTTTATGCCCGAAAACGGCGCCTAACTGATACCGATTTTAAAATCATACAGATTTGAGCCCTGTTTTGGCACTCATATGAGCCCTTATTCAAAAATGTTCTCAAAGTGTTTTCTGAGTGTTGAAAGGATACCTACTGTGAGTTCAGTGGAATATGGTGGCCTGTATCAAAAGCTTTGCTATGCTAGTGTTCAGCAATTTCAGTAGCCTTACACTTATGGAACACAACAGCAGGAGTACATTTAATCAAGTAATGCGATGACTTTGGATACAATCATATAGCATGATACAACTGCCCCCAGAAGCATTGTAAGCCCTATGAGCTCCGAAGCCGTGCAATCTAAATCTGGCCGGAAGCTCGGCACATTTGGTCCAGCGCAGAGGAGGCTGCCGGGAGGAAGCTGGCGTTGCCATGGAAACGGTATCGGCCGAGCGCAGATGAAAGGCGGGAAGCCGCAAAACACGCGCGGCGGCAGATGAAAGTGCTGCGCTGCGGCGAACGGGCCTGGCGCGATCGACCATCCACTGATTAGGGCGGAGTCTGAGCCCCGGGGAGTCTGGTGAAGGGGAGACTAGGAGAGCGGGCTCAGAATTCAGCCGAATCGTTTGTTGCTTTTTGTGTTTTAGTAAAGGTGATGTGATCGGAAACACAAATAAATTTGTGAGAAGTGGACAAAATAGACAGATGATTGGTAAACAAAATGTGTAACGAAAATAACCAGTAGGTATAACGCCTTTTGGGGCGACTAACGGAGCGAGCGAGAGGGTGGGCCTTACATGCACGTGCGAAATTTCGAGGGGGTACCTCCAACTGACTTGTGCACTGCGCCCTACTAATCGGTCTCTAGCGATGTGCCAAATTTGAGCACAATCGGCTCAGCCGTTATCGAGATCTGGAAGCGGCGTCCTGCACGTGCGCACGTGCAACATGAGTCCCAACTGACTTTTGCACGGCACCCTACTAACCGGTCCCTAACCGCGTACCAAATTTGAGCGCAATCGGTCCAGCCGCTCTCGAGATCTGGAATCGACCCCTGCACGTGCGCACGTGCAGCAGCACCCCAACTCTGGCACATGGATATGCAGTGCCTAGTGGGTGCCTACCTACATGCCAACTTTCAGCGCAATCGGCCAAGTAGTTACCGAGATATTGCAACAATTAGAAAAGTGACACCTCTTCGTTTTGCACGTGGCACGTGCATAAGGGGTCACCCACATGCATCGGGAATAGTCCAATACTTGGTAGAAGGAATGAAGCTACCCTACAAAAATTACCGCATGTAAATCGGTCAAGTGGTTGCTGAGATATAAGCCTCGCAAAAGCGTCCGCACGGCCGGCCGGCCGCTCATACTCACCAGTATAACGCCTTTTGGGGCGACTAACGGAGCGAGCGAGAGGGTGGGCCTTGCACGTGCGAAATTTCGAGGGGTACCTCCAACTGACTTGTGCACGGCACCCTACTAACCGGTCTCTAGCGATGTGCCAAATTTGAGCACAATCGGCCCAGCCGTTCTCGAGATCTGGAAGCGGCACCCTGCACATGCGCACGTGCAAAATGGGTCCCAACTGACTTGTGCACGGCACTCTACTAACTGGTCCCTAACCGTGTACCAAATTTGAGCGCCATCGGTCCAGCCGTTCTCGAGATCTGGAAACGACCCCTGCACGTGCGCACGTGCAGCAGCACCCCAACCTTAACACATGCAGATGAATTACCTGATGGAGACCTAACTGTGTACCGAGTTTCAATTCAATCGGCCCAACCGTTGTGCCGTTATTGATGTTGCAATTTTGGGGGTTCTTAAAAAATGTCCAACTTTACCACGCGCCACGTGCGGTGGTTGGCAAGAACGCATGGTGGCCATCACACCACAGAACTTTTACGTCCAAGTGACATTCAGTAAAGAAGACCGCTTGTCAATCGGATGTCCCGTTCCTAAGATATTAGCTTTTGAAGAGCGTCCCCACGGCCGGCCGGCCGCTCATACTCAGAAATTTCCGTTAATCTAAGGAAAGACTCCGCTCGCTTCGCTCGCTCCGTAAGAAATTTCCGTTATTCTACGTAAGACTCCGCTCGCTTCGCTCGCTCCGTAATAATGCATGCAACGTCGAGAAAACTATCCATGACAAATCACCTCACGAGAGTAATTCGGCTCATTCACCCTCTCTCCCTCTCTCTCTCTCTCTCTCTCTCTCTCTCTCTCTCTCTCTCTCTCTCTCTCTCTCTCTCTCTCTCTCTCTCTCTCTCTCTCTCTCTCTCTCTCTCTCCCTCTCTCCCTTTGGAACTGACCTGTTCTGGAACCAGACCTGCACGACGCGCATGTCCAGTCCGGTCTCCTGGCTCAGCTGTTCCCGAACGTGCCGTGCCGGCTTGCTACTGTTGTTGTAGGCCACCTTCAGCGTCTCCAGCTGTTTGGCCGTAATCGTCGTCCGTGGCCGCTTGTTGGTTGAGTCGCCCTCTGAGCAGAACGAGAGGTGAATGTTAGGAAGGTGAACTGGCTATTAGAGAGATGTTCAGGTCGCTAAATGTCACGGAGAGTTGACATTTACTGAGATATTTTGGGTGGCTAGAGGGCAAAGGGAAAGCCAGACGCAAAAGGACACAACTCTGAACGGTCGAGAAGGTCAAGTAAGATACGACAAACAACCAACCCTTAAAAGTTCAGCGGTAATCACACCACTGTTTGCGACTTGAGGCGATCTTCTTTGACCTTTACCAACCAATCACCTCCACCCACCCAGCGCTCGCAGCGTCCCGCCCTGGCCTCGCTGACCTACCGGCATCACCGCGCTGCTTGGCCTGCTGGTAGTCGTCCTTGCAGACCAGCTTGCCGTCCTCGGTGAGGTAAAACTCGTCTCCTGTGTTCAGCTGGCCGTTGCAGAGCACACAGACGAAGCAGCTGAGGTGGTAGACGTTGTCCTGGGCGCGTCTCACCACTTGGTCGGGAGGGATGCCGGCGTCGCACCCGGAACACTTGGCCCCGTACCGTCTGGGGAGCATAGTGGGCACAAAAGGGGGTGTTTAGCTGATGCTGAATAAACAAGAAAATTAACAAAAATCAGGAACATAAAAGGATTGAGGCAGCATGGCATGTTGTAATGCTGATTGCTGAATGTTGTGAATGTGACGTGAGGGACACCTATTTACCTATTTCACCCGAATTCTAGCCATAGATCGTTTGAAGCATAGGACATTACACATTGGTACCTATACAGCGGTAAATGTGTGATCTGTGAAAGCACCTAAATTAAGACAAACTGAAAGAGGCATGGGAAAAGAAACGATGGGCATTTCCTTGAAATTGAGTTGATGAACTCATGCGTGTCTCACCGAAAGAAATCTTCCTTGCAGAACACCTGTCCCGATCGGACGAAGCACTTGTCGGCGAGCTTGGCGCCGCAGTCGGCACAGATGAGGCAGGAGCTGTGCCAGCAGCGGTCCAGCACCTTCAGAATGAACCGGTCCACAATGGGCTTCTCGCAGCCGCCACATTTGGGGATGGTCGCTGGAACAGAAACAGAGACGTTAGTGACTTATAAGTTGGCACGTTGTAAGGGAGGTGTGATACTCGTATTGTACGACATAGCCACTCTCGTAAGTACATATTCAAAACACGCTATGGGGGGCTGGATGCTATAGGGGTGGAGATGACAAACGGTTTTGCCTGAAAACATCGATATTTGACATCTGATCTTTCCCGCCAAAATAATAAAAGTCCCTTGGTATACTTTAACATTGGATATTGCGTGGACATTGGACATCTTTGGAGGTAGCAGGCGTGAAAGTAGGTATATGTACTTCCAATCATTCAATGAATAATTAGATAGTTTACTTGTTGAAGCACTTGCTGTATGTAAGGCATAGGTATAAGTTCTATGAGAAAAAACACTTTTAAATGGCCTCCTTACAATGAAATACCAAAAGATGAAATAATGAAATCATCAATAATTATTTCATTATTTTATCTTTTGGTATTTCATTGTAAGGAGGCCATTCAACCAGGAGCCTGCCACTAATAGGGTTAAAAGTGTTTTTTTTTCTCATAGAAATAATTAGATAGCATGGAATCGTTGGAAATGCCACATTGTATTCATTGGATGGGGGACGTCTCTGGGTATAATGCTGCAGTGCTCAATCTATTTGTTTTGTGCTGGCCTGGGCCTATAATTAGCTCAGCTTCAACATCGCATTAACAACGAAGTTCGAGGTTGTCTTATATGCACCGTTCAATCGTGGATGCTTCTAAATTATGCTCATCAATAATCACGGCATTCATTTTCATTTGAAACACGGCATATTTATTCCGCGATGCTTGTTTGTCACTGCCTGATACACTTGTGCCGACGGCAAGTTTTTCAATAGTATTTCACTTCCCACGCTGATACACATTGGAAACCATGATCATTCGATGATCATTTATTATTGACGTAGATATTTGGTTACTATAGCTATAATTACCCTGCATAAACATAGAAAATTAGTCCCTCTGCGACAAAGAATGTGGTTTGAAACTCAATCACAGCCACTTCAGATAAGAACTTCGAATAAGACAACTTGCGCAGGATGTTGTGGCAACTGGCATGAGCTTCGGATGTCAAATAGCTGGTAGCAACTGGCAAGCACTCACTTCACCGTAGATCAGAGAAAATGCAGTAATTCCAGGCTTCTTACAGCCATTAACAGTCTTTCCTTTTCCTATACGCCCGTTTAACCCTCTCAGGACAGCGTGGCGAGCCACCCGGCCACACACCGGCCCTTACCTTTCAGTTTCTCGGGTAAACTGGAGTGAAACAGATCAAAAGGCGGCGGGGTTCCGCCTCCTGCGGTCGGCGGCGAGCAGCCTTTGAGAGGAGACATCACCAGCGCCCCGGCACCACCCGTCATCACCGTCATCACCGCGTCACCGAGCGGCGTCAGCGGCGGCGTCTGACCGCCAGCCGGCGCCGAGCGTCACTGGGGCTCCCCTCTATGCCGTCCCCTCTGCCCCCGTCCGCCGGTCGTGGCCCCCGTCCGCCGGTCCGGCCCGGCCCGCGCTCATTCAATGGAGCACCAGCTGGTCGCTAAGGGCGAGATTTAATGGGGAGGAGGCGGACAATGAGCGCTGATGATAGTCGTCGACCGCGCGCGTGCCATGCTGCCGTCACCTGTTTGTGCTCGTGGCCGGAGCTGTGGGAAAGGTCGACAGCTCGGCGCTCCCACAGCTGCGAGCTGCAGCTGAGACTGAACTAAAGCGTGAAATAACCACAATACAACTTCAGAAGTCACCAGAAGTTGGCGGTCAGACGCCGCGTGCTGACGCCGCTCGGTGACGCGGTGATGACGGTGAAGAACAAATACAACTTCAGAAGCGCCCGATGAACCTTCGTGAGTCGTCGCTACTCGGATGTCATATTGTTATGGTTGTAACCAAAGAGCTTTGTGGAGTCAATATGAGTGGATATTCGCATAAGTGGGTATTTCAAAAGCGAATACGAAGAAGCAATGAGAAAACCATGAATATGGCCCGCATGATGAGGAATAGAGAAACCATGCTGAATGATCAGGGCCAATCCAAGTCGTATGCTCAAATATCGTAATTACCGTTCATGGTTTTATTGCCAGCACATCAATAAACACAAGCTCAAAGTAGGTGTAAATAATTTGTGACGTTGTTGTGACAAACAGCCACGCTGGTCTGTTGTAGTGTTTGGAACATGCCAATTGTTGTGGTGCTCGGAACATGCTAATTCAGTTGATTGTGGTGCGATTAGTAGATACCGTGCAATACTTCGTGTATGATAAGCTAGGAAAATGCCGGTGATAAATTTAAGACAAATTTACTCAATATATGTCAACTTATATTATCTTATGTTGAAATAAATTCGACATATAGTTCAGCATCGTCATTCGCCATATAGGTACCTACTTGCTCCATTTTGAAAGCTCATAAAACTAAAAATAAAAGCTATTTGAAAACCCGATTCAATTCGAGTTTGTCTCCATTCGAATACCTGAATTGAGTTAAGTTTATTGTAGAAACCTCGCTGTGGCTATTCTGGTCTCACGTCAGGTTATACATTGCTAAAACACAGGATTAACCCGCGCCCCAGTGGCGGTCTCAGCAAACTTCGCCCTAGTGAGGGGGGGCATATGTTACCACCCACCTCTAACTCAAAAACTAAGAGGGCTAGAAAGACGCGGTAAAAAGCATTCAATAGCTCTCAATGCGTACGTTTGAAAGTATTTCAGTCATTTTTCACCATAGAGCAATATTGGGGTCACCAGAGGTCATCAAAAGTCAAAATTTGCCAATTGTCATTATATTTTTCAGAAAACATGCCGCTATCTCAGGAACTATGGTAGCTAGAAAAACGCATGTAAGAGCAAACGATAGCTTTTGAACTCTTATTTTGAAAAGGTCACTATCAATATTGACCTCAGGTCAACGGTTTAGCCTCCAGAGGGCAAAAACTCCAAAAATAGCTGTTTTTACGAAAAGTGTTTTTCGACAATAACTTACGACTACAAAAAGCCACGACATTTCTATGGCCAGAATCGTGTTCCCCTCGCCGAGACGCGTCGAATGAACTATAATTTGACCTTGAAAGGTCAACTTGAAAATTTGACCTCAGGTCAAGGTCATGACCTTACCGGAAAAGGTCATGTTGCATATCAGTCGATGCGTCTCAACAAGACAAACACAATGAGATCATCCCCAGCGTTCTATCTCTTTCCAATCGCGAGTTATTGGCAAAAAACTGTTTGTAGCCTCAAGTGACCTCGGATGACCTGTCTAGAGGCTATCACCAAAAATGACACCTTGGTCATCACGAGTGGACTAAATTATTGTGATTCTGAAATATTTGGACTGTTCCGATGCGTACACACGGATCTAGAGGCATTTTCATTTTTCTCCATTGACTTGTAATGGAAAGGTCACGCCACTGACCTGACCTTAGGTCACGGATATGAAAAATCTGAGATATACAAATTGTAGGCGCTCATAACAGCATGCAATCCACCAAGTTTGAAACCTTTCTGGCAAACACTGCAGGCTGGACATGATTGCAAACTTTTTTTAGGCTTGGTCAGTTAACTTGACCTGGTGACCTGACCTGACATGACCTGGGGTCAAAAATTTCACACATTGTCCAAAATTGATGTACCAAAAGCTACCCCAAGCGGCGCGGCGCTACGCGCCGCGGTTTTTTATTCACACGCAAAAAAACGCGACAGGGTGGTAACATATGCCCCCCCCCCCCACTGGGGCGAAGGTTAAAACACATAAAACACCAGGCTATTACATTTTTAAAGCAAAAGTAAACTAAGCAGTAGGCAAAATGCAATTGGCACTCCCTTGCTCATATTGATATTGACATTTATTAACGAGGGATTTCACTTACGATATATGGAACTTTAAATCAAAATAAGCCCTCCAGCCTAGTAATTTTCGCATCACAAATCATGAATACACTCAATTTGTTTTCGAGTATGACTTCTACGTAATGGTAAAATTGGCTCATTCAGCAACAATACGCGACTTTATCTGTTTGCTTTATTTAATACCTTCCCATTACGAATTTCCCCCTACATTGGAACGATTTTGCGATGTCATGACTGAGAATGCAAGTCATACTTCAAATGGGCTCAGAAACAGCATGGTGGCATTCGCATTGATTTTCTGTCTGCCTCGTCATTCGGGATAACGTGTAGCTCTTTCGATGATCATGATCAGATGATAGTTATTTGTGAATTGGACGTTTAGCTATAATACCATGCAAAGCAATGACCGTGAGCACTTAACTTTACTACACTGAGGTCATTTGGAACGAGGTGTTGCTTCAGTTATGGGTAAAATGCGTGGGTAAATGTAAAAATTGGTTTAATAAGCACAAACAGAGATTGGTGTGAACTTATAGATCTACCTAATATGTCAAAATTTGGACTCTTCCTGAATTATACGTCACACGTTTTTTTTCATGAGTATTTATGCCATTTGCATGTAGAAACGTCATTAATTCAAAACAATATCGGGGTAAGATTAAATGTGCCCAAAAGCAGAATCAATCCGAGTATTTCCTGAAACCACGCTCATTATGCGCTATTACTTGTGTGGTGTGCACCCTTACTTCCGGTGTAATCACTCCCGAAAATTGCACGGTGTTCGGCGAGCGCTGCATGCTGCTCAGCACTCACGCTGTCTTGCAGCGGCCGTGTATTGGTGCTGACAATCAGAGGCACTCGCTGATTGGAGTATAATACGACTCTGAGGGACACAATCCGTGTCAACACGTAAACCCATGGGTCTGTTTACTTTTCATTCATTAGCGCATGCACCACCTGTCGACGTGCGCGAGAAACTGCCCCCGTCCCCTCCCCTTCCCTCCCCTCTCTAACCGACACCCCTGCTCTGCGTGACAATCGCCTGCAATTTAACGCAACCACGGGCGAAACGACCGATCCAGCTCTGAATTTTTCATGCCGCTTTAAAAATTAAGCCGCTGATGTAATGCCTATTGTCCGGTAAATGAAATATATTGCCGGATGTTACTGGGCTTTGTGGCGATTACCGCGAGGGTATTGGTGGTGGGACACGGCTCGGGCGCTGATTGCTCGACGGACCGAAGGACTCGTGCTCCTCAGGTACTGACTGACTTACTCGTAGTTAGCCTCGGTGGTCCCGACTGTTCCACTGCAGCCACATACTATTGGATAATGGATTTGGCCGTGAAGAAGCAAACATTGTTCACTGTCGAGTCCCAGAGTAAGTTGCCAGCCTATCAGCTGTAAATCCGTTTCGGGTAACGTGCAGCAAGGCAGTGTTAGAATGCTATAGGATAAGAAGGACGTTAGGAATTGGCTCCACTTGCATAAACAACAGGTAACACTTGTGCCGAATACAATGCTCCACTTAAATCAAATTAAGTGTGCACAGTATCTAATATTTATCCGACAAAAACAGCAAAACAAAAAATCCTACAAAACAGTCAAACAGTCTCCTGCACCGTCTCGCCCTCTCGACGCGTCACTTGGTCCGTCGACTTCGCGTCTCGAGGGAGGGCGAAGGCTCGTCCAGCCGACTGGCGCTGGGACAGTGATGGTGTTGACACTCATTGGCCGCGTGTCCAATGGGCACTGGACCGATATCCACGGAGAGCAACAGCGTGCCGCTCAGCGACGCGAGAGGAGCGGCTGACCTGGTGCGGGGAGAGGGAGCGCGAGGCTAGTGCGGCAAGCGTCTGGTTGACAGGCTAGAAATGAGAAAAGAATTACTGAAGCATTGTTTTGTTGTGAAAAGAAAATATTCAAAGTGTCTCGCGAAATATCATTGCTATTTGGCACACTGAGTTTTTGGAAAACTGTTTATAGCTTGACCAGGATACCAGGATACCAAATATGACAACGCACTTGTTTACATCCTGTTCACATTTATGCTATAAAAGATATCCAGATTTGTTCTCTCTACTCTGTCGTGAAAGTATCCATCTCCCGTAGTGACCTTCACCATTTACCACCAACTCTTTGACCAGCGGTACCGGTCCTTTGTTCTATTTCTGTCCTATGACTACTCTCCTATCCGAGCCACCTCCGTTTCACCCCATCCAGTTCACTATCCAGCCACGCCTCCACGCCAGACCAGGGAGCTCCAGCGACCGGCCCAGACCAGAGCACCCAGAGCACAGATGGCGGCTCGGACTAATGGTCCGACGGCCGGCTTTGGGGGGTAGTTGACCAGCCGCTGGTCGCTGGTCGCTGGTCGTTACCGACAGTCGTTAGAGCTCAGAGGTGAGGCGGAAGACGACCGATCTCGCCGCACAGCTTTCTGGTTCTGGGTGTGATGAGTTAGCAGTTTTCCTAGACTGTTGGTCCCAATGTTATCAGCTTGTGTGTTTTGAATTGAACTTTCTCAGCGTTGAGACAGTATCTGGTAAGTAGTTGCTTCAACTATTTACAATGTT